CCCCCCCCCGAGGGCCTGGCGCACAGCCTGGCTCTGGCGCTGGTGGCCAGGCTCCGGGAAAAGTGCGTCAAACAGAAGCTCCAACGCGAACAGGAGCTGGAGAGGATCCGGAGGAAGCTGCTCCGGCTGTTGCCCCCGGCAACGGGTCCGGAGGACGGGGATCCGGCCCTGGAGGAGGACGACCTCAGGAACATCGCCACGGTCGTCGTCAGGAAGCTGAAGCGAAGGTTTGGGAACTTGGAAGAGCTCCTGAACGCGGGAATGGCGGAAGAGAGCAATGACTTTTACAGCCTGCTCCTGAAGTGGCTGGAGAAAGAACTGAAAGCCAAAAGAGAGAAGAAAAGCCAAAACAGGGTCAGGAGAATGGTGTCCTCCGTTGGAGGAAAGTTCCGGAGGACCTGCAAAGTTTTGCAGAAAAACCTCAACCTCCGCATGACTCCTGAGAACATTTAAAAAGAAGAAAATGCAAATTTTTGTTTATTTATTTGCTTGTTTATTCATTTGTTTATTTGACTTTTCTGCAGCATATCACACCTTCTTTCAAATGGCTTTGTCAGATTTGGTGGAAGGTGTGATTGGGCAACTTTTTATTCGTTTCTTTTTTTTTATAATCATTGCATTTTCTTGTTTTTTTTTTCAAAATTGTTTCTTATTAATGGACTTTGCAGCATATAACACCTTTCTTCCCAATGACTTTAGTAGATTCGGGGGAAGGTGGAATTGGGCGACTTAAATTTGTTTTTGTTTTTTGTTTTGCTTTTTTGCTTGTTTTGCTTCATATGCTCATGAAAATTTTAAAAAAGCACTTAACAACTAAAAACTTGGATGTCTACATTATCAAACTCTATTGCATTGGAGAAACTCACCTTTATGATTAAGGGTAAATACTATGTGTTCCAAAAGATATGGGAAAAGTTTTTGCTATTCTTGGAAAATTTAAATACTCATAATGAGGATTGACTGAATGTTCTCTAGCTAATTTTGATTATGTTTTTATTCTCATAGTGACTGTAAGCCTGTTATCTTCATGTTAATTCCAAATGTACTCACTTGCTCAAAAATGCATGAAACTTAAACACTGACGTCGGGATGCATAGAACCAGGGAGGACATTACCTTCAACTCATACCTAGCCCGTGGACTGTGATTAAATCTCTTGGACTAAGTCTCAACATACTCCCCTGAGATATCAATCTTAAAATATTTTGTCTCAGTGTAATCAACAGGCTGGTCACCTTGAATGTTTAAATTGTTAATGTGTTTTCTTTTCTTTTAATTTTGTTAGGTGTTTTGTGCACTTGTGAGTTATTTGTCTGTATGTCTCTTTGAATTGTAAAAGACAATGAACAGATTTTTGAAAAAAGAAAAAAAAAGCACTTAACGAAATTCTCATTCTCATTGTGTTGTATGTAAGCTGGCTCTACTGTAAGCATCGCTCTGAACACGACATAAAGTCTGGCTGATGTGGAATGTTTACCACATACAAATAAAATAATAGATTAAATGGAATGGAATACAATCAAATATTACAGAATAGAAATGAAAATCCCATCAATAATCCACAGACATGAGTCTTGTTTCAGTGTAACATTGAAGAACAGGTGGCTGGCTCTTTAAAATGGAACCTGAACTCTCCAAAATTGACTAGTTATTCACTCCTTGTATTCAATAAATCAACTCTTCCCAATAGGAAATGAGCAAACATGTTCAAGATTTTGAAACGGGCAGAGCTTAATAAAGGACGGGGGGAAAAAACAGAACAAATATTCACTCATTTCAACAAAAGTTTAAAAAAATCACAAAAATGTAAAAGATTTTAACACCAAATGACAATACATCTCAGCAATCTGACACCTTGTTCACATCGGATGAAACATGTGGATGGAGTGGGACGCACCCAAACATGAAGGATATTAACAAAAACAGCCTGGAGGCACTCTCACAGAGTTCAGCACTATGTGGGATTTGATTCTCAAGGATAGAAGCATCCTTTTCCACACAACATGAAGCTGAACAAATCTCATTGTACTGTGTACAATGACAATAATGGCTTTCAATTAAATTCAATTCAGCTGGACTTGCCTCCAACCAGCTGCTTCAGCAGCCGTCTGCGTGCGGGTTTTCCGCAGGTGGACGCGGTTCAACTTCCAGAAATTTAAAACCAAGAATAAATCAAAAGAAAAAACTTCGCCAACACAAGACTGCAACTCCAGCTCCGGGCTGGCTGACGATAAATGGTCACATGGTGCGTTTAAATGGAATCAACTCTGTCAATTCTAACTGAAACCACGCCCCCAAACCCCCCCTCCCCTAGGCCTGGATTCTGGAATGGCCGCCGTCACCTGGGAGACGGGGAGCTTTGAGGCATAACAGAGATTGAACGTCAACATGGAACCGAGTTCAGGGATTCCAGATTTCAGAAGAAAAACTGAACAAAGCACACACGATTGTCCCTACAAAGACAAAGAAAAAGAAGGAAATAGAAATGGATAAAGGAGCATCCCAGGTCATCACCATCACCGGACAGGATCTCCTTCCACTCGTCGAAAGGCATTTGGGAAATGTCTCCGCCTCCCGGTGGGCCGTGCTGGCCACCGGGAGAACAGAACCAGGCATCCAGGTCACCCTTTCCCGGCTGCTGACCGACATCATACAAACCGTGTCAACGGTTTTGCTGCGGATCTTCTGGCTGAAGAGTCGGGGCCTGTCTCCAGAAAGCGGGGATCCGGCCGCTCCGACTCCGAAGCCGGAGCTGGGAAACTCCATCGGCAAAAGTCTCTGCCTGTTCTTCCACGTCCAGCAGGAAGACTTCCTGTTCCTGGACGGGGCCGGAGTCCTCACGGCGCTGGTGGAGGCCGAGATAGCGGAGAAGGTCCAGGCCTACGTCTCCCAGGCTGCTGAGCGGAGCCTTCCCCAAAAGCCGGCCATCTTTGTTAACGGCATCTCGCCCAACGTCCGGCGCCTGGGCAGAATGGTGTTCCAGGCCACCGGCTTCGTGAGGAAATGTCTTCTGGCGCCCACCCAGAGTGGCCGACAGCAGGTGGAGGTCAGCGAACGCATCTCCGGCCTGTCCACCTGCTCAGAGTCCTCAGAGCTGGTGGAGTCGCTCACTCAGAGCCTTCGGGACGTCGTCGATAAGTGGACCACCCGAGCAACGGAGGAACCTCCATCCCCCGGACCCGTTCGGTCAGGGGAGATACTGGACATCGTCATGGAAACCCTCAGGACTCCCGAGCAGGATCCAGCAGCTGGATCCGGTCTGGACTTGACTCGGCTCGTGAAAAAGGTTCAGGAGCTGACCAGACACCCTGGAGATCCGAGCACGAGGGAGGACTGCGTCTCCAGGTCTGCGCAGGGCTTCTTTAAGAACATGATGGAAGACCTGAAGCAGCTGCGGAGGAAAAGCGCAGACGAGGCGGTGGTGAACATGCACGACCCCGGGGCCCCGCAGCCCGAGGACACCACCTGGGACTTCGTCTTCCCAGGAAGCGTCCCGGAGCCTCCGAAGCCCGACTCACCGCCCGCCACTCCCCAGAGAAGGCTGCTGACCCGGGTCAGAAAGAACACGCCGGAGGTCGGGTTTGAAACATTCAGAGCCAGGCTGGAGGATCTGATCCGGGAAATGGGCTCCTGGGAGGAGGAATTCGGAGAGAGAGTGGGGAGTTTTTCTCCGCGCAGAAAGTTCTCCGCCGAGTTGACGGAGCAGATCTACGTCGGCTTGATGACCGGTCATGTCTACCACATGCCCATTGTGCCCAAAGGCCGACGCCTGTCGGACTCCGTAATATCGAAGGTCAGGAAGCCGGTGGACGGTCAGCGGAGCACCTTCTGCCCAGACGTCCTGTACTCCAGGACTGAGGACGCCGTGGGGAGGTTTGTGCAGGAAGTCCACCTGCTCACGACACTTGAGCAAACGCCCGACGGTGAGAACCTGGTAGGAGCTCTCACAGACATAGAGATCCTTCTCAAGGGGGGAGTCCCTCAACCAAAGATGGAGCGGGACCAACCACCCCAGGGGGCCCCCGGGTTTGTGGAGCCCCCCCCCCCCGAGGGCCTGGCGCACAGCCTGGCTCTGGCGCTGGTGGCCAGGCTC